TTTTTTTTTTTTTTTTTTTTTTTACTTGCAGCGCACATTTTGTGGGAAAATCTTTATTACGAAGGAATGGAATATTGTACTTTGTTCATTGTTGGTATTTTTAAAATTTTTGAAAAAGTTTAGTTTTTGAAATTTCGGACTTTAAACGTTACAGTTTAATAATTTTTACACTTTATTCGCAGTATTAAAATATGTTATATAGTATCTTGTATATAGACTTCCGAGATCCGTATCTTATAAAGTTTTGTAATTTTTATATCAAGTTCAAACAAAGTGTGTCTTAAACGAGATGCTTTTCTTCATTAACTTTATTAACGTCTTTTCTGTAAAAAAAATTTTTATTGCGAAAGGACGGGATATTACATTCTGTTCATTAATTTCTTCAGCGCAGAAATCGGTGTAGCGTTTTTTAAATGTTTCACATTTTTTGAACGTTAATATTTCGAAATTTCAAGCAAGATTTTCATTTAACATCTCGTGCAGATTACGAAGATTTGTATTATAAATTACTTATCGATTTTGGATAAAACGGGACATTTTCTCATATTCTAAATATACATATATATAAATTCCCAACATAAAAGGATGGAATATTATATTTTCATAATTTATGATTACATTGAACTGTTAAAATCATTTTATTTTTTATATTTTCGGACGAACGATCTCGTGTAAATTATTCACTCAATATTCTTCACGAATCATTCATAACGACGCTCCCGAATTTTATATCCTGAAAATAAATTACCATCGAACATGTGTTTCAAACACGGGATCAAACACAGAATTTCAACAAGATTTTTCACGATAATTATTTCCTTCAATGCGTTTTTAAACGCTTTCATTCCTTATACACTGAAAGTGGATCGCAAAGATCCTCTGTTAATATCTCTTAATCGCCAAGTTAAATGAAACCTTTAGCTGAAAATTCTTAGCCCGGATTTCACGCCACTCTATACCCACGCTGTATTTACTCGTTCCTCCTCTACTCGAATTATTTTCCGCTCGAAACCGCCCTCGCCCTCTGGGCATCGACTTTTGCCCAGTCATGCGCGATATTTCTCGACGTAACCCGCGCTGAAGGCCTGGTTAGGCCAGCGTCCTCGCGAAAGAATGCACCGACGTCGAACCGCTATGTGTTCTTTCTTCAAAGTTCGCGTGTTCGCGTGTTCCCTGCGACGGGGGAACGCGGAGGAATCGTTTTCCGTTTCGACGGGCAAGGGAAGCAACGAGAGAAGATGGGAGAGACGAGTTTCACAGCGTTAGCGAGCGACTTCCGGTGGCCAAGCATACCACGGGGTCACTTGAACTTTCCACCAACCTGGATAACTCCGGTTTTGTTGAGAATCGCGTGGCCAATCGGCTGGAAGCGTTCCATCTGCCGTAGAACTTCGGCCACTTTCGGTTCCTCCAGGTCCACCAGACGGAACGCAGTCATGTTCACGCTGTTGTACTTGAAATCCTCCAGATCGAACGTCTCTATGTCCTGCGAAATATATATTTCGTTCACCTTACTCTGGAGACTTGAGAAACATTTTGTATTGTAATAATATTTCTTTTTGGCATTACATGAGCAGAGCATGGATATCTATGCAAGTTTATATTCTCGCGAGAATATTTTGACAAAGTGGAGGTAAATATTCTGAAACGTCATTATAACGAGTAGAGGCCATATCTACGCAAATTATTTTTGGGGCGAACATCTTTAAAGACGGAATATTCATATTCCATCCTTTACAGTTTATAAGATAGAAA